ATTCCTTCACAACCCGATGGACGATTCGCAATGCTGACAAGTTGCCCGCCGTGCAGAATTTAACCACATGGCCATTCGATACGTGGCAAGGGAATGCACCCATGTATTATCTATCCGGATTGGTGTGATAGGTCGGTATCCGGATGGCTGCGCGCCGAGGCCCACGCTCATTTGCAAAAACAAGCTCCGCCCACGTACAGTAGGAGTCGACGGCGAGAGGGATGCGCGACACCAGTGATCCTACGACGCTTCGCATCGGCGACCTTTACTGGAAGCAAGATGGGCCGACGCAATGGACGCTGGCGAAGCTTCTATCGCAGCAAGAAAATGGCACAGCCACGGTCGGGCTCGTCGATGAGACCACCGGTGCGCTCCTGCCCAACGAAGAGCACGACGTCGAGGCCGCGCAGCTGCGTCCGGCCAACCCGCTCAAGAGGTACTCGTTCCTTTTGAATATGGCTACTAAGGTGCTCGGGATGCTAGCCACTGCGCCGACATGACGTCGCTGCGCTACTTGCACGAAGCCGCGCTGGTCAAGAACTTGCACGACCGATGGATGGCCACGGATCGCCTCACGTACACGGCCATGTCCAACGTGCTCATCGCAGTCAACCCGCTCAAGGTGCTGCCCCACCCGGAGAAGGCCGCGATCGTGCGCGACTCGCTGGACAAGTCGCCGCCGCATCCGTACCAAGTCTCCGAGGTCTCACCATCTCGATGCTACCATGCGTATCCTCATCATGAGTAGAGCGCCTATCGCCAAATGCGCACGGTCAAGAAGAACCAGTCGATCATCATCTCGGGCGAGAGCGGGTCGGGCAAGACCGAGACGTCCAAGATCATCTTGGACTACTTGACCGCGCGGTCGGGCCTCGAGGCAAGTGCCAAGACGACGCGCTCCAAGCAAGTCGACTTTGAGCATGTGCTCGGCGACCAGCTCATGGAGACGATCCCGATTCTCGAGTCGTTTGGCAATGCGAAAACGCACCGCAACCACAACTCGTCGCGCTTTGGCAAATACATGCGCCTCCAGTTCACACCCAAGGACGCCAGCGCCAAGAACTCGGTCTTGCGGCTCTCGGGCGCGTCCATCGACACGTACCTCCTCGAAAAGTCCCGCCTCGTCATGCCGCCCGAGGGCGAGCGCAACTTCCACGTGTTCTACGAACTCCTTCGGTCGGGCGACGCGCCGCTGCTCGAGTCCCTCAAGCTCGTGCCGAATCCGTACGACGACAAAATCAAGGGCAACGACGTCGAAGACCATATGGGCACGTACCGGTACCTCAACGTCTCGGGCTGCGTGACGGCGAGTAACATGGACGACCGCAACAACTTTGCGCGGCTCATTGGCGCCTTTGAGAAGATTGGCATCGACACGAAAGAGCTCACGCGCGTCGTCGCGGGGCTTCTCCACCTCGGCAACGTGACGTTCGAGGAAGAGGACACGAACCAAGGCATGACGGCGACGCTCTCGACGTCGCCCGAGATGGACGACGCGCTCTCGATATCGGCCGACCTCCTCGGGCTGCGCGCCGACACGCTTCTCAACGTCATGACGAGTCGTCGCATCTCGCGCCAAAACTCTGCCGGCGGCACCGACCGGCGGCAGACGTTCCAGCGGCAAGCGTCCGTGTACGTGGTCAAGAAGGACGTCAAGCAAGCGAGCTACTCGCGCGACACGATCGCCAAGATGATCTACGAACAAGTACATACGCGCCTGGGTTATATCGATGGACTCTGACGTGGGGTAGGTGTTTGGCTGGCTCATGCGCAAGTGCGCGGCCGCGCTCAAGTACAACGCCGATGCGCAAGACGTCTTGCCGTACATTGGTGTCCTCGATATCTTTGGTTTCGAGGATTTCGAGCCGATGAACCGGAACTCGTTTGAGCAGCTCTTGATCAACTACGCCAACGAGACGCTCCAAGACATGTTCAACGTGTGCATCCTCAAGGCCGAGCAAGAGCTGTACCAAGCCGAGCACGTCTTTGCACCGCAAAACATTGGCCTCCGGTTTGCGTTCGACCCGAGTACCTTTGCGACGACATCGATCCCGTACGGCTTAGTGCTCAAGTGGATACGATTCTCATTGTCTCCAAGTAGGCGCCGCCTCGACGAGCTCTCGACCGAGATTCACTACGACGACAACCACGAGTGTCTCTCGCTCATTGCGGGTCGCTACGACAGCATCTTTGCGACACTCGACACGGTCGGCATTCTTGCCGGGTCGTCCGATAAGAAGCTCAACGAGAAGCTCCACCAAACGTTCAAGAAGCACCCGTGGTACGCGCAATGGTCATCAGAACAGTCGGGTTCTCATGTCGATCGGCGATTAGCTTTCCGCTGCCGCACCCCAAGGATGCGCACCACGACTTTTGCATCAAGCACTTTGCCGGCACGGTGCACTACCGCATCGACTCGTTCATTGACAAGAACAACAACGTGACGTCGGTGCAGTTCCAAGATCTTATCCATAGCTCGACGCTCAACGTGCTCAAAGAGACGGTCTTTTCGTCGCGCAACGTCGGGAGCATCTCGAAGATGTTTTCGCAGCAGATGAAGGGCCTTGCGGCCGAGCTCGACAGCACGCGCTGCAACTTTATCCGGTGCATCAAGCCCAACGCAGCGATGGACGCGACGCTCTTTGACCGCGACAGCGTCTTGAGCCAACTGCGCTGCTCGGGAACCGTCCAAGCCTGCCAGGTGCTGCAGGTCGGCCTCCCGACGCGCGTCGCATACCATGAGCTCCTTGCGGTCTACGCGCCATTGGTGCCGCCGTCGTTTCTCGCCAAGTACGAGACGCAGCCAAGGTTGTTTACGCAGGGACTTTGCCACGCCCTCGAGATTCCGCTCGACGCGGTGCGGTTTGGCGAGTCGCGTCTCTTCTTCAAGGCCGGTCTGTCGCTCGAAAAGCTCTCATGCAATATACTAACGTGGTTTCTGCAGGCAAGGTCGACTTGCTCGACAAGCTCTTGAACGCGACCGAGTGGATTTCCGTCGACTTGCTCGTCATGACGCTCAACAAGTACCTCGTCAAGAAGCGCTGGCTTCGCGCTGTCACCAAAGTCATGGTCGCCAAGGCATTCGAGAAGCTCTTCCTCGCGAGTCAAATGCGGCACAAGGCGATCAAGCTGCAGTGCTGGTGGCGCCAGCGCCGTGCTTGCCGCCGCATCGAAGCGATCCGCAAGACGCTGCGCATTTCGCGCCTGTGGAGCCGCATGAAGGACAAGCTCCTCGTGCAATCCGCGTTCGAGGGCCGCGTCGAGGAGAAGATGACGCTGCTGCACGCCCTCCTCCTTCGAAAGGACGTCAAACAAGACTCCAAGTGGCTCCTCCAGTGGCTTGGCCCGCTCCAGCGCACCATGTACGTCCAGAAGCTCGGCAAGGCGGCGTGCATGACGTACCTCGCCAAGCGCGCCTTTGTCCAGCTCCTCGAGCATGTCCGGGAAAAGCGCGCGTCGATCGCGCTCCAGTCGCAGGTTTGTTGTCGGTCATAGCTAGCGGTCGCCCTGACTATGAACGCGTAGGTCCGGCGGTACCTTGCGGTCAAGGAGGCCAACGCGCTGCGCAAAAAGATGCAAGCGCAAAAGCACTGGCGCAAGATGCGTCTCTGGCTCACGGCGTCGGCCAAGCTCGTGGGGCTCTTCCGCCGCGTGCACCTCACGCGTCTCGAGCTCGACAATGCGCGCTTGGTCACCGAGATCGACGCGTTCAAATCGGAGGTGGCGGCGGCGCACGCCCAGGCGGCGGCAGTCGCATTCGACGCCAAGGAGGCGGCGGCGGCGCATGCATCGAGCAAGGCCCAGTACGAAGCCTCGATGGACGCACTCGAAGCCAAGCTCGCGCAAGCCGACGTGCAGATCCAGTGGCTCGACCAGGAAAATGTGGACAAGGACAGCAAGATCCTCGAGATGCGCATGGAGGCCAAGGACCTCAACGACGCGATCGCGGACGCCGAGACGACGCTCGAGTGGACGATTTCCAAGAAGGACACGACGATCACGTCCCTTCAAGGCGAACTCGCGACCTTGGGCGCCAAGCTCGACGCGCTTCAGGCGGAGCACGCGGCGTGTGCGTCCGTCGCGGTCCGCTTGGAAGAAGCCACCGACGCGCTCGATGCGCTCCAAGAAGAATTCGACGACGCAATTGCTGCCATGGACGCCAAGATGACGCAGCAGTCGGCGGACGCGGCGACCGAGCACGCCATGGACATCGAACGTCTCGAAGCGGCACTGGCTGCTGCCGACGCGGCCCGCGTTCACGCGGAAGACCTCCACGCAGCAGCCATGGTCGACCACGCGGTGCAGAGCCAGGCCTTGGAAACGACGCAGGAAACGATGCGTGCCGAGCACACGGCGGCGGTGGAGGCTCTCGAAGCGCAACTGGCGACTGCCAACGCGCAGCTGGTCGAGGCCAAGACGTCTCATGAAGAGGCCGTCGCCGCGCATGAAGAGATGCTGATCGCATTCGGCGCCAAGGTCGATGAACAAATGGCAGCGCACGACGCGGCGATCGCAGAGCTCGACTCCAAGCTCGACGCGGCCGACGACGCGCGCGCGGACTTCGAAGCGCAGCTGGCCGAAGCGGCGGGGGCGCATGAAGCCGCGGCGGCCGAGCACGCGTCGCGCGTCAAGAAGCTTGAGACCAAGCTCAGCATCCATGCGGCGCTGCGTGAGACGATGAAGATCGAGCATGAGAAGCGTGTCACTAGCCTTGAAGAGAAGCTGGCCGCCGCCGAGACGCAGCGTGACACCTTTGAGACGCAGCTTGCTGAAGCCACTGTGGGCCACGCGATCAAGATCCAGTCGCTGGAAGCCAAAAGCGTCGAGTCATCGGGTGCCATGGCGACCATGGCCACCGAGCACGCGGCTGCGATTGCTGTCCTTGAAGCCAAGGTCTCGGGAGCGGACGCGCGGCGCAAGTCGATCAAGGAGGAGCTGCGCGCAGCACTCGCTGAGCATGCAACGGAGAAGGCTGCGCTTCAAGCTTCGATCTCGGAGACGACGGCTGCAAAGCTTGCTGTCGAGACGACGCTTGCAGCCTCGACAGAGCAGCTTGCGACGGTCCAAGCCACCCTCGAGAAGGATGCCACCGAGCACGAAAAGGCATTGAATGACCTTGGCACTCAACTTCA